GAAATGAAAAGAAGGTTAAATCTCTGGATGTTTATATTGCTACTTCAGTGGCATTGGTAAATAGTTACCAAAAATGACAGTATTTACTTGTGTTCGTTGGGTAAGATACTTTATCCTTGTCCACGGGATGCTACAGTAAGTACTGGGGCAAGATACAGGATTTGGCGGTATGGAGTTTGTGAGACACACCACCTCAGTCCCACCATGGTTGGGGCTGAGGGCAGAAAATTGTGAGAATAATAGACCTCTCAGGCGCCGATCCAGAGTTACCCTGACTATCGCACAGATGGGGTCCCAGAGTGGGCGGGGCTATGAGAAGAGAACGTAACGTTTGCTTGTTCCGTTTGCTGGAAGACAAATTTTAGACGTGGAGTCTTGGGGTCCTCTAGAAATTTTTTGTTTTCTAGATGCTTAGAAAGAATGCACTTTCCACGTCTATTAATGAATGAATATACTCTGAATTCATAGTTTTTTCCCCACTTTACTGGACAATTAATAATTATGAAGATGATGATGATGATGAGGCGGCATCATAGCTGGGTGATGACTAGCTGCTGTGCAAGATTAATTACAACACTAACAGGCCATGATGTGAAGTGTCAACCGAGGCCCATACTCTAGCCCGAGTTCATCCCTACATTTTCAATGCACACAATCGGACAACAGTAACTGTCTACACTTTATATGATCAGTACATTTTTTATTGTGATGAAAATATCATATAGGTATCCATAATTTACCTTATATGCATACATGGAAGTAGAAAGTTGAACCTATAATGTTGATATATGTTTCATGTTGTTAGTTTAATGGTCTTTAATGTACATTTTAGTATGACCACAACAAAGGAAGAACACTTTTGACATATTCAAAGTTCAGACCCATATAAATTTATATTTCCTTCCTTTCTAAATCATAAAGAAGTCCACTCTTCAAATGTTTAGCATAGATGGGTACAGAGAATTTATTGACTGTCTCATTATCTAAATTTTGGTAAATTACGTTTTATGCATTCACCGACGTGGGTATTTTATTTTATGTTCTTCGTTGAGTAGTCTTCTTTAATAAGAGTCTAATATGACCACAACGTATAAAAGGAAGTCCATTCTTTAAATGAGAATTTTGATTGTTTATAATATCATTATACTACACATGTTAGACCCATTTTCCAAAAAATTACATTTTCACTGCATGCGCCGATGTGGCAGTCATGTATTAAAAAACTGGTGGTAAATATTCAAAAATTTGTATCTCATTCACCGTTCCCCAGTTTTTCATCAAACATCTTTTTTCTCTCTTAGAAAAATCAGTTCTACAACATATTAAACATTTTTTTTCCTCCGGAGCCTGAGGTTAACCTAATAATCTTTGTTGGGTAAACCGGCTTTGCTACAGTGATTTGGTTCACTCTGGTTGTTCCTGGTTTCCCCAAATTTCAGCTTTTTTTTGTTGTTGTTGTAAATGACCAAATAAATAATGAAATGAAATGAAATAATAATGGTCCAAAATTCATTCTATGACCACAACTTTTAAGTTATCTTCTTAAAGGAAAAATAATAATGCAATTCTTTCAAAAATTGTATTCTGACCATAACCAAACTTGGTATTATTGTACCTCCACCAGCTAATTAAATATGAATAATAATAATTTCATATTTCTAAAAATTGTAGAGTATATGGTAACTTCCCCTTGATTACATCCACAGGGTGCCCCTAAGCCAAAACCTTTAAAAATGGATAAATTGCAATTTTTCGAATCATATCATACTGAGTAGTTTACTGGTTTAAATGTAAAAATTTAAGATTTTACTTTTAAATCACAAAAAATCACAAATTTATATTCAGTATATTCTTGAATATCCTGGAAATTGGGTGCGTACACATCCTTCACAACATCCCACCTACAGGATATATATATATATATACAGTTGACTTGCCAATTAATACGCTTATTAACTAGATACAGTAAACTTCTCAGTATTTTCCTTCAATTCATTTTCTACTTAATTCACATACCATTTATGTCGTTGCTCTTCTCCCGATCCCATATTCATTTTCAGTTTGTCAGTGCTCGGTGGTCATTTTTGACTTTCTTTTTAGATGTATCAAAGTGTGTTCGTAGGTTTTAAGCTCTAGGTCTACAATTAGGCTACCCACTCCATTAAAGACCTGTTTTTAAAAATTTTTTTATCAACAATACAATACAATAATTATTTTTTAAAATACAATTTATGGGTGCGTTCACACCGTCTGCACCCCCTGCATCTGCCCCAGAAGTACACAATTCTTAACCGTGTAGGACAGACTACCATTGATCATGGCAAATTTACTTCCATGCAAGCTGATCACATGCCAGTGATATATTTTTTATAATGATAATCTTCCATTTATACTGGCCAATTCAATTCACTATACTATAGCATGCCAGTGATATATTTTTTAAGCCTTGGCTCATGTGCCTACATATAAGATTATTAAAGATATTTCTTGACACTCGATGTCTCGTTATTCACTGTAGGAATTATTGTAGTGTTATTATCGTTCTGTTATATTGTTATAAGAGCAGCCTAGCTCAGTTGGCTAAACTAGCGGTAGCGACTGTGTGTGTGCTAAACCGCAGAGATCCTTACTTGTCTTCGGTTTCTTGTTCAATTCCATTGATGCTAAAGGAAAGTAGGTTCCTAGCTGAGACGAGAGAGTTTGGTGAAAATTGCTGGTGACAGTTTGATTCAAGATTTAATTTTGTCATGGAATATGCCGGAATAATGCTTGATGTTTCCAAGTTACGGTGGAGTGCATTCAATGAGAATTTTACAAACAGCAATGTTTGAATTCAATGGAATAGGTAGCCAATCTTAAATTCCTAAATCCCATTCTTGTAAACTGTGAATCATTCAACAATACTTTAATGTTGTTGCCTACTAGAATATTGGTTAGATACATAGTGTTTAAATTAAAACTGGAACTTGATATTAACTTTGAATGTTCCACTAACATTAATAAATTCTTATTGGATGAATGAAAACATTCACAAATTAGAATACTGATTGTTAATGGTGATAGTGAAATACAGAAGATTCAACCATGTCACCTGACTATGTCACATGACATATTTTACAGCCACTGACTCATGTTCCTTGGAGGCTTTTTAGTTGAAATCACAAAGAACATATTTATGATCAGGTCATATAACAGAAGTTCCACTTTAACTTTCATGTTTGTCATTTTCTTACCAAGATACTTCAACTAAAAACCCCTTTTCATCAGTTGTACAACAAATTCTATTTTCTTTTTTAAGCAAGAACTTATGCATTTAAGATGATGCTTTCTACTTGAATGGGATCACTTGTATGTAATATTAAGAGTTACCCCTTCCTAACACACTGTAATACGACATTCTTTTTGTAATATAAAAATAACCCCTCTCTGATACAGTAATAAGACCATTTGTTCATAATATTAAAATACCCTGTCCTCATTTGCATACTGTAATAGTACTGTCATCCATATTATACTTGGTTTTTGCTAACCTTGCATTGTTTGCCAGAATATTTCACAACCTACTCTCTGATTTTTGTTTGGCACTACATTAAATTTGTTGTTTGTTTTCTTACGGTTATAAATAAGACAATCACAACCCTACTTTTTAGTTTGCGTGATCTGTACTGATGTGGAATGATCACTATACTATTTAGAACAATGACTACATGTGCACTGATGTGCAACAATGAATTATAACATTTCAAGAAAATGTTATTAGAAAAAGAAGGGTTTAATATATCAGTTAACATTTTCAAATTACAGCACAGGTTTTTCTCCCTATATGATCTTTTTATAAGAATTATGATATAATGTTGATGAGAATTGAGTTAAGATTCTGACTATAAATGGAGAATTGCAATGGTAGTGGTAAAATATAACATTCGATGAGAAAATCACTTCTGTCCATAAGTAGTTCGACTTGAGTGTTATTTTTCTCCATGTTAGCTCCAGTGCAGTTGATAACAACAAGCAATTACTACAGTCTTGTATTCATGCATACAGTATTATACCTGGTTGATAATGGGTACATAACAATAGAAAATTCAACATCATCAGTGAAATGGACTGATGTGGCTAATTATCTGACACAATTACGCTTGGGTAGATGATAACAAACCACGACACGGCCTGCCTAGGTTAGCTCACACCATTGTACGAAACAGAGCTGGTATAATCATTAGTATATAAATACTGCTTAGATAATTTTACACAATTGCATTTGCCACTATCAGTGGGTGTTCATTTTACACTTTTTTTACACATAACTTGCTTAGATAATAATTGGATATGTTTCCCTATTCATAATTTGCCTACACATAACTCTTGTGTATTGTAATATAGATGGTGATCTCGTACTAAGTGTTATGCATAAATTCGTCCCCAGGCGATAATCACTCATTTTGGTGGATGGAACAAGTTACCTCAGGGTGATATGGTTTAAAATCTTTGTAACACATCTTATTGTAATTGCTGCAAGCTAATTCCTCAGCTTGGACAATTACAATAGTGCGGGGAAAAAAAATGCTGTTGCCCATTAAGGCTGGGCCCCTATCTTTAGCTAGTGAGAGCTTGTATCTGTTATGTTAATGAGAAGTGTGTACATTTAATTTGTTAATGTCTCTTACTTAGCATTTTAATTGAGCTTCAGTCAATATAAGAGGTTGTGAGGGATTTACAACTAAGCCTAATCCTTCCTAAACCCTTGTAAATATCATGGCATATTTAAGCTTGTTCTCTTGGGCTACTAACACAACATGTGTTATGTTGTATTGTTATTTATTACATAACAGAAATCCTAACCCTACAGCACCTAATTTTTGTATTCAGGTTATGTTCTCTTGGGGGGGTACCAACTTCCACCAACTTGTGAGAGATTTATGACAGTAATCCTAACCCTACCTATTCCTTGTTAATCGTTGTATATTCATTGTTTTTTTTTAATTTATATAATTCAACAGTTGTATATAACTTCGAAGCTGATAAAGATGAAAGTAAGTGCCAACTGTCCCTTGATGTCGGTGACATTGTTTACATCATTGAAGAATGTGAAGGTAAGTTTAACTATTGTTGGCTTTGTAAGAAAAAAAACTGTTTAGCGTGCCCTTTCAACTGTCCAATTCTGGCCGACTTTTCTCTTAAGCTTAAAAAAGCTGATTAAAGTAGAATATTTACCATAAAAACTTGAGTTTTTAGAAAATATATGAATTTTTTTAATTTTGGAGAATTCACAGTGTGGGGATTATTTATTAAAGCCTCTTGATCTAAGGACACCTTTATTGTCTATTTGTTATAATATGAGCCGCTGTAGAAGTGTACTGGCTAGTGTTAATAATAACTTAACTATAGTACTGTATAGTGCTGCTTTTGCTTTGCCTCCTGTGTTTGTTCTGAATTCCTAACAAACCATATTTATGTAAGTACATGTTTACCAAACAAAATATTGATAACTACACAATGAAGAATTTGTATAGAATAAAAATGAAACCTAACTGTGTGAAAAGTCTGAGTTTGCGGTTTTAGCATTATTTGTTCCTTTTACCTTATGTCAATCAAAGTTTATCACCTGGTAGGGAACACTCAGACTTCGCTTTGATGTCAAGTACCCCATATGTCTGGTCCTATGTTCTACATTTCAAGGTACAACATGGCTTGATATGAAGGCGATACTGATCAGAGAGTGTGATTGTGAGGTTTGTGATCATGTAATTAAAAAAAAAAGTGTCCTCAGTGAAGCAAGTTTCAAGTAAATCTAGCAGATTGGCCTTGGGCATAATTTTGATGGAAATAAGCATTATAAATCCAGTAACGTATAATGGGTATACTATACAAATTGGGGTTCCACTTGCTTTGGCAAACATAATAAAAAATTATATAATTATGCTGGTCCTCTGGTCATGTATAGCCCACCTTGGGTACTAGCCCACTGTTAACTTTTGAATAATTTTCATCTGGATATACAGTAAGCCCATCCCCAGCCCTAATATTAGATATTTGGAACCAGGTATGAAATATATTACATTGAAATTCACAGCTAGGCCTAGATCCACCCTACCTAGGCCTTCATGGTGTAGGCCTTCATTATGCTGTTTAGGCAAGACTTTTTTTATACCTCGTTTCGCAAACTTATTTTTTTTTTAATCTTCAGAAGAGGGCGGGAAAAAAAGTGAAAGTAAAATTTTGTTTTCTTATTTAGCAAATGCTTTTACCAAAAACCTCCATACGGAGGCGAAAATAAAAATCAAATTTTATTGGTGAATTTAAACAGTGTAGTAATGCGATAGTTAAATGCTTTAGATTTATATGATTAGAAAGAAATATACTATTTATTTTTGGAGATTTCAAGGCAGCAGTGGGTTACAGTATAATAATGTACAAATATAGAAAAACTTTTTTTCTGAAATTTCTATTTTTTTTCCCCCCCGTTTTTATTCAAAATCATAATTATTGGTGGGCAGCGAGTCCGCTAAACAAGATGTAAAAAAGTCTTGCCTCAGTATAAGCACACCGCCCAAACTCAACCCAATTTTGTACAGTATTTAGGAGTAAAGAATGGCCAGACAAAGCGAATTTTCATATTTTATGCCAGATTCAAAGCCATTCTTCATGTAAATTAGCTGAGTTACAGTACTCTTCCACTCATACCCTGGTCTTTTCCCCTGTGAAATGCTATTTGAATTCAGACCTAAAGTAGGGGATGGGTTATATACACTAAGTGGGTCTCTTACATTAGCCGAGGAGCTATGGCAATACATCTATGCCTACGTGTTACAATATTACTGTGTAATGAACAATTTTCCTTCTATTCTTGTATTTTATATCTTGTGATTCTGTAGTGGGATGGTATGCTTGTATTAGCAATAATGATATCCATGAATAATTCATACTTTACCGTCAACAGTAATTTCATAGTGTTACTCTGAATTGATTTCCTTGTGGATTTAGTTCGCATATCTTGTACTGCCAGTGACAAGCTAAAAAAACTTGAAAATTATAACTCAATAATATTAACTTTACTTTGGGAGCTGGCTTTTTCTTTTTTTTTTCTTTTTCTCGATATTTTCCAATTACATCTTTTGTGCACACTTTTTGACTGAGCACATTATATTTTGCGCTATAAAAATTATATACCATTATCATCATGAGTAATTATAATCATCATTCATTGTTTTCATTATATTAATCATCATCATTATAATAATAATAATACATGTCGGTCTTATATAACACTTCATGCCTAAAGCCTGCGCTTGGATCAACACGTATGGAACACATACTCAGCTCCCTGGAGAGAATTCTATAATATCTTCTTTACCATCATTGTCATTTGATCTTTCATTTCAGCAATAAGATACAATATTTGAATCCAGTTTAGATTCTACTGCTTAATTACAAATCCGTTGTCAATATTTAAGGAAAGGGAAAACCATTGGACTTGAACGGCGCTGAATCCAAGACTCTGGTCTCTCATTAATAGCATCATTGATGTGAAGTTAATGTTAGCGTTGTGTTCCACTAGGGATGCTTTCTGAGATGCCAAGTAGCGTAGCGTCTAGTGTTTGGAGAAGCAGGCAGCAAGAAAATTGCATCGATAATCAGTAGCAAAATGTAGCATGCTACTGGATTTGCTAATAAGCTATGTTTGCCAAATCTATTATTACTCATCCAGTTGTGACAAATGTTAAATTATTAAAACTTTTTGTACGTATCCCGTTATTGATATTGTAGAATATGATGATAATATTTTTCTCAAGCCCTGTCCAGACTACCAAATTTGATTTGACAAAAACATGTGACATGCCTAAATATGGTCATGATGACATCACATCATGACCATATATAGGCACATCATGACTGTATATGGGCAACAGTTTTTTGTCAGATAAAATGTTGATAGTCTGGACATAATTTATAGGAATTTTATGGTGTATTTATTTTCCTGATTTAGTTTTTGTGGTAGCGACCTATTTTTAGATCCCCAATTTTGAGGTGGCCTAAAGTTAATATTGCATAAATAAAAAAACATTTCCAGTTCCTCCAGACTACACTGTAAGCCTCAATGAATAAATGCATATAGCGTAATTTCATTAATTAGGGCTCCTGAATATTAGCTGGCCTGGATTAAGCTGGAGGGGGGAGTCAAAATTTACTGTGTACATATTCATAAAAATATATTAAACAAATAACTTGTCAGCTTTCCTAATTAGTGCGATGTTGTGTTGCATAACCTGTTATTTTGCTATAATTGTTGTAATTTTCGATGATCATTCAACGCAGAGGGTTTCTTTTCTGCGAGTTGAAAAATATTAGTTGCAAGTTGGATCGCAACTACCCCTGAAGTAACACTCTCAACACACTACACAGATGTTATCTTACTCTACTATAATTTTCAGCTTTGCAGGTGTTCAAAATATTCTAAAGGACTTTTCAATTGGATTTTAACTCTAAACTTATACAGCTTTATTTGTCATTATTATTTAAATAATTAATATTTTATACATATAATTTGTGTATATAAATAATAATACTCAAAATAATGATAATAATAGTAATAATAATAATAATAATAATAATAATGATAATTAAAAAAATAATAAGAATAAATTACATGCTTACTGTATTAGTGCCCTATGGTACTACTGTAATTCACTACTCTATGGCATCAGTAAATATAATTTAAGTCGTATTCAGAAACTTCAAAATAAGTGTGCTCGCCTTGTATGTTGCAGACCCAAATATTGTCACATCACTCCTCTTCTTAATCATCTCCACTGGCTTCCAGTGTCACAGAGAATCCCTTTTCCGCATATTAGTTCTGACATTTAATACACTGCAGTCCTCCAATCCTAGTTATATCTCCTGCCTGTTGATTTTCTTAACCTCTACCTATTCTCTCCGTTCTGTTTCCGGTTCCTGTCTATCTGTTCCCAAATCCAACAAACTTGCTGGTGATAAATCTTTCTCTTTCTGCTCCAAAACTGTGGAATAATCTTCCTATTTCTACCCGAAATGCTTGTAGTACTGAAGTCTTCAAAAAACTCTTAAAAGCTCACTTATTCCCTAAATAATCCTCTTCCTACAATAAACCTTTTCTAAGCACCTTGTATCCTTTGGCAAAAGGCGCTATATAAATTTCTATATTATTATTATTATTATATATGAAGCATGCATGTCATTCCAAAATCCAGTGTACTGTCGCTATATGTTAAACTGAATAATTAGCATACAAATGTAGCAGTATTGAATTTGTAGTATATTTTAGTACAGAAAAGCCATAATACTTTTACTGATATCTTTGGTAAATGGTAAGTAGATTCCAGTAGATGACCCATCAAGCCTACAACAATGTGCAGAATAAGAATATATTCAAAAGTTAATTTTCATTATTTTTGTAACTGAGGCTATTTTTGGGATGGCAAGCCTCAACATTCATATAAAAAAAAAAAACACCTATAAAAATACAGTAGTTAATGATTTACTATACATGTAAATGGCCCTATAAAAAATAAATATTAGTTTATCACCTTATCTAGGCTGGAAAAGTGATGAGGCAGGGAAGTTGTTTATTTGTTATTTTAGTATCACATTTGGGTTGTTTGCTGGTGCATTGATATTCAAAGTAAAACATGATTTAGATAATACAAACAATATCTACTAACTATTTAATAAAATAAATGAAAAAAAAAAAAAAATTAAAAAACAATTTTTTGTTTAAAAATTAAAAATTTTTTTTTTTTTTTTTTTTTCAGTACCATAGAAGACATGCGCGCGGGGGTGATAAACTAATAATTTTTTTTATTGGGCCTTACAAATAATATCTACTACAAATTTACAAACAAAAAAGGAAAAAATAATTTTTTTCTCAGAAGTATATATTTTTTCAATACCATAGAAGAAATGCGCGTGAGGGTGATAACTAATAATTTATTTTATTGGACCTAATTTGCTAGGGTCATGTTGTGGGTGAACCTATCTTAATCATGTGGGATAACTCCTTAATCCCATCGGATTACTCATGGGGGTTAAGAAATACTTGCAGAATATGAAAACTGACTTCAGCCATCAAATTTCTGATAAATTCCGTAAAGGAATTGCCGGAGGACAATCATCTGACCAGCAGTTCATCAGAACTGTCGCTAATGTTGATATTAATCGCAGATAAATTTGTTGGCAGACTGCGACATCTTAGCAAGTTGCATCTATTAAAAGATACCATCTGTCATAAAATAAAGAAAAATCTAATTGAAAAGGAACAAATAAGTTATTCACTACCTTTGAGTAAACAAAGTATAAAATAAAATAAAAAAAATCATAGGTAAGTAATTTGTTGCTGATTTACAAACACCACAGTAATCCATAAATGTTGGCTTATCAACCAGAGACAAAACAAAAATCTCACCAAAGGCTTTACTATGCATATTTTAATTTAAAAGCATATTTCTTTTATTTATTCAAATGTTTTGTTTAAGAATGTAATAGTATTTTAATAGTATTACACTAACTTCAGTGCAAGTTGCATTTCGTAAACATTTTATAAAAAATTTTGCATAAAAGAAACCCTTATTCCTTTATTATGTAGCTTGAAAAGAAATTGAAACAGTGCATGGGTATAGGTTTAATAAATATATACATCATGAAATGCAAAGAAACTTAAATATTCCTTTTTTGTTTTACATGAGAAAATTTATATTAAATGTACAGTATACAGCATTGCAGGAGGTAGATCTGTTAGCCTGGAACAGTTTTGTCATTTGTATTATGCAGGTTATGTATACATAAAAATTGAATAACGGAAACAGATAAAATTCTTGCACGTTCTTTAACAGTAGTTGCATTTTGTCAGACTCAAAGCAGTGTACATTGTCATGGCCTGTTTTCGTATGTAGGCCTAGATAGCCAAGTCAAGATTAGAAAGGGATTTGTGTAATGGCTACAATGGCGGCTGGGATTTGGACACAAAGGGTTCACTGACCGAAACTAATATCTGACTTCTACAGATAATGAGTGTGATTTTGGAGTGTATAGGCTGATTAAAATTTTACTTACATGAGAAAAAAGTAATTTTTTCTATAAAAAATAATTATCAGCTGGATAGATACATCATTCTTAAAAATTAATTAATAAAACCAATTGATAAAATTTTATAATTGTTACTTATTCATAATTATTATGCCTAATTAGTGTTTGAAATGAACTATTCCAGTTATATTTTAAATGATGGCTGATAATTAAGACAAATTAAACTATGCTAATAATCTAATTAAAAACCATGTTTTTGTTTTTCTTCCATATCTATTGGTCTCTGCTATTGTACCTTCTTAAATAATCCTGCAAGAAATGGAAAAATGTCATACTATATTATAATAAGTTTATCCACAGTGACTAGAAATTACAATATGTGTGTTAGAGTATGACCATCTTTGTAAAAGAACTTTGTTAAAGAAAAAAATGAGATTTACAAAAAAAATATTGATGAGAAACATTATTTTGTTGAATAATGCTACTTTTGAATATTGCTATTGAGGCAATATTTCGATTTCTTTCATTTCTTTCATGAATATATAGTAGTACTAAAATACATAAATAAACCAGCTGACCACCTATTCAGTGTGTGTCATACTATATAGTAATGATTATTTATTGATTTATTAACAAATTTGTCTCAATACATTTAGATAAATAGTGACCAGGGAGTGATTAGCGATGACATGGGCGAAAGCCCAGCACATCAAGTGGTCATCTCTTAACCTTGGCAATTACAATACAATAAAATTACATATAAAATATAAAGAAAAAGATAGTGATGAATGTGGATGTATTATATTCAAATCATTATAGTGTCACTGGAGGTTTTGTAGTTATTTGTTTGTCATAGACTAGGTATTCACAGTGTCACCTTATGTCAGATCAAATAGATAGTTCATTCCTCAGGTTTGTGAAATTACCAAATTGACATCAATTGCTGGTCTGATGGAGGTTCAAGGCATGGAGCCTGCCCATTAAACTTCCAACTTTGGTGGGTGTCCCACTAAATACTGACATTGGGTGACCTATGGGTAAAAGCAATAATAAATCAACGTCCATTTGATGACTAGGCTAAAAAACATACTTGTGAAATGAAATTTCCCAGCTATAAATGGTTCTATTTATATATTTCTGAGGGACCAGTACTATTAAATACCTTCCAAACATTCGGGAAAGAATTTTATTTTATTGCAAAGAATGCATATTGAATGCATGAGGGAATTAATTTAGGAAGTTAAGAGCACCTAGGTAGGTACTTGTGGTGGACCTGTTGGCCCTTGAGACATCTTCAAAATGTTAATGATTCCATTGTACTAACCTCATCAAAGATTGAATGTTATTGGCTAATGATGGTTCGACTAACCCCATCAAAGGCCCTTTGTTATTGGTGATGACCTAATAAGCCTCATCAGAAGCTAAATGTTATTGGTTGATGGTCAAGTTTGAATTCATGTTAACGTCGCTTTTGTGTTCCCCAAGTACAGTAGTAACGGTACGTTGCAGTATTTATAAATAGGAAATACTGTATAGTATTTGTCAGTCATGCCAAATGTACTTTGACACCTTTCCAAAAGATATGATACAATAACTGTTGCCTATGTCCCATAGACTCCAACCGTCCCTGATATGGTTACACCCACTCTGATTTTGATTTAGTCTCAAGTACAGAAATGTATAGTAGTTTCGTTATAAGTGGATTTAGGTTTGCATGAAAAAAAAAACAAAAAATGTGCATGTTTATTGGACAAACAATGATGCATATGTTGAGGCAAGTCAGAGCCAGCCTAGGTTCTTACAGATGCACCCCATCACATTTACGATCATTGGCCATTAGTCATACATAGTAAGCGATTCGCACTTAAATGCAAGTAACGGGTGAGAAAAGATAATAATAATAAAAAACAAAATATTTTTACTGTTTGATTTTTTGGATACATGTCGGAGAAGTATACTGTAGACCTCGATGACACATCACAATCCAAAAAAAAAAAAAGAAAAGGGATTTAACAATGGTATAGTAAGCATGTCATTGTCAATTTCAGTCATGAAATGTAACACTTTTGATTTGTCATTAAGTTCGGTTGTGTTTTTGCATATGAATTGATCTGATTATGGTAAATTAGGTATGGTAGGATGATTAATTCTATGATAATTTAAGTATTTTATTTGGTAGGCATATTCACTTCTTTTATGGTATTTTTTATCTTCTACAGGTTGGTATCGGGGTTACTGCACTAAAAACAAAGCCGTTAAGGTGAGTTAATTATATCATGCAAAAGTATATTCAAACTGTACAATCATGGAGATGGAGAAGTAAGCACAATGCAATTAACCATAAAGTTTAATCCTAGGAATGCATTCAACAGTTGAATAAATTAATTAATTAGCAAGTGTTCTGGGAAAAGAATTTTATATTTTATTTAATACAATGCACCCATGTTTTGGTGCCCCATGGACATGAAATTAAGTAATTGAACCTCTGTTGCCAGTGGGAATGATACTTCAACACTGAAAACATGTTACATAAATATAATAAGTAACCAGTCATTAAACATTATTGAAAAGGGTTTAATAAAAGAATTTAAATATACAAGTGTGTATATTTGGCTGATAATTATGCAGTTGGTATAAACATTTTTTTTTTAAACCCCAAAAAACACTTTTAACCAGTTCATTATAACTGCTCTGAATACATTTTTCAATGAGACATTTTTAAATAATTCATATTTCGCTGATTTATTATTATAATTTTCCTCAAAATTGTACGAAATTGTTGCCTTCTAGTCCCAGGGTCCTGGGTTCAAATCCCGTGATGGGACAGAATTTTTTCTCACGACTAAAAAACATCTCCACTCCCTAATTGGGAGTTTGCTTATAAAGCATCATATTATTTCGATTATTTAAGAGGTTGTGTCACCCTCTATTGGTTAAAAAAAAAAGAAGTTGTATTGGTATTCATAAGGCAATTTATTGTTCTGAATATATTTTCCTTTTTCAATCTTAAGATAATAAATTCTTATTATGTCAACGTGTACCATGTATTTTAACAACAATGCAGTATTGTGAGATATAAAAGAAGACAACATGTACAATAGCATTAGGATGTAATAGAAACCAAAAAGCATACTATATTCTAAAAAGTCAAAACTAAACTCGTAATAGTTGTTATTGTACAGTATCTTGTTTCTCTCTTTTGTGTGTTACTCTTAATGTATTTTGGTTTTGCTTTTTAGGGAATTTTCCCAAAGTCGTTTATACAATTAAAAGAAGCAACCGTAGAACTCAATGGGTAAGTTTTAATAAAATCTTTCATAATATCAAACGTCTTTGTGGAGTCTGACTACTGACAGACAAAATGTAGTCAACGTCCAACTTTAGAATAACTAAAAATAATGGGAAAGGCAGTTACACGCAGCAGTTTTCATTCTGATTTTTAACCTTACCATTCTCCGACCATTCTTGGCTGGACATGTAGATACTGTACCCCAGGTCTTGCATGTTTGATAGTCTAAATGGTTCATGCTAACATTTATGGCCCAGGTGCAAGCCTCTTATCTGATACAAAGTTTAAAAAGTAACCCCGTACCTAGAAGGTAGCCTAAAGGCCTTGTTTGAGGTGGAAGTATTTTTTGTTCTTAAATATTCAACATTTAAATACTGTAATAATTGTAATCATTGTTATAATTGCATTCAACCATTTTTATTTTCACTTTAACAAATAATATAATCATGGATCCCTAGCACATCGATGAAAGTACTCACAACATCACAATCTCCCCATTCACAAATATTATAGATGTTTTGTTTAAAATACTATTTGTTGCTACCTGTAGTTGATATAAAATAATTTCATAAAGCCATGGATTAGAAATGGATATTTTATTGGCATCATAAATGAATTCTATCAACAGTGAGTCATATTTTAATGGTACTCCAGAAGCTATCTATGACATGCCTCAACACCATTTGCCTACCATTATTTATTTGAAGAATTATCTTATTTCAGAATGTCCTGTATTTTATTCACTTACTTGACACTTTATGTATTAATTAGTATTCTGTAGTCTTAAAATATATTTATTTGTAATTTTGTTATAATTGTAGGCCTATAATGATAATTTGTAGTTTGAATTTTATTAATAATTAATAAAGTCTACAGTATGTGTCTATCATATAATATTCAGTATATAATCTTAAGGTTTATATTTATTAAATTAAATTATATATAGAAATACTATAATATTAATGTTCATAAATATTATAATATTATATTTACATATTATAATTTTATTAAAAGTATATAACATAATCAGTTAATCTAAGCCACATTATACTTTAAAGATCAAGTAATTTCATTGTTTTTTTGTCATTGAAGATTTTATTACAATTAGGCATCAAAGCCTACATTATTAATAGAATTCATTTAACTGATATTAATGCTATTTATATATGCTTTAACACATCATTCGGCTTCTTTACGGTTCCACATAGATTTCCTATAGGATTTCATCCTCATGTCTCCATTGGGATGAAGAGACGGTAAGGTTTTCCATCCAAATTTTGCATTCAGTAAGTCCATAACCCTGCATGGCATTGGGCAGCATGATGACGGAAGATCCAGGATTCCATCAGGAATTGCATCTTCAAAGTTTGAATCCTTGCAGACACTGTACGCTACAAACATTTTTTATTTGTTTCCAAAATTTTACAATGTTCTGAATATTTTCTTTTAGAAACGACCAGGAACAAGTCACTCCAAAAGAAAGTCCAGTCGTGAAAGAGGTCACGTCAGTCCTGCGAGAATGGGGTTTCATCTGGAGGGAGCTGTTCATCGTAAGTACTGTAGATTACAGTGGCTTCCTATTGAGAAGCGTGTTATATTTAAAATTAGTGTACATCCTGGGGGGGGGGGGGGGCTCACCCTTCACTCTTAAGTATTTCTATATGGGGAGGTGCCGCATTTACCGAGTATATTTTCTAGGACTTAGTAGCACAAGTGTGGGAAATAACCGGGTGCGAAATTGGTAATTAAAGTCCCTGGCCTATCCTATGTCAAAGTGCCACAATTTTTCGCACGATGTTAGCGAGAATTTCAAGCTAGACTGGGGGCTAAGTCACTTTGCTAAGCCTACCTTTGGTACAACCACAAGATTGTGACCGAATGGAACACTTTTTGCCATCGGGAACCAGTAAATATTGCGCTATCTCTAGCACTATTGAGCGGACTTTTTCCTGTCGTCTTTTAGAGCACAGTGCGATTTTGGTAAATGGTAGTTCCAGTCCATAAGAATTTTCAGTCACATAGGTCGCGCAAGTGTCTCATGTCCTGAAGTGGCTGTGGCACCCCCCTGTTTGGTTGTTATGGAAGTGAGCTCCCCGGGTTGTACATGTATGCGTTAATAAACAGGCACCTCTGTACCTTAAGAAATTGGTTAATAGATATGAGCCTACTGAAATTGTTTTCCATAGATGTTAGACTAAATAAATGCCCTGTCAGACAATCAAATTATATTTTACCAGAACATGTGAATAATGCCTAAATATTGTCATGATGACATCATACTATGACCATATATGCATATCATGACTACAGTAAATATAGGCATACAAGATTTTTTTTTTTTGTTAAATAAGATTTGATGATCTGGACGAGCTTTATGTTCCACACGCTGATCCTGTTACACATAATAGATCTTTCTCAAGACTTGATTTCCTGCTCATCTCCGTCAACTATGTACACTCAATTCTTTCAAAATTAAACATCATGTGTCCACATTTAAACGTTAATACTTTGGCACATGTCGAAGTGCAATCCTGGTACCATATGTACAGTAGTTGACCTGTACCAGAAAATCTTCCGACGAGGGGCTCAAGGCTCTGTACAAGAGCTCCAAGTTCCCTTAAACAGTGATTCAAATTGATCTCAACACCACTGTGTTTGGAGCAAATTTTAAGAATAAACACCTCTAGATGCCTCAAAATTGCACTCTCAGACTGTAAAAATGCTTTTTTAAAGCACTGTTCCCCCATGGCTTAAGCAATACATTTTTTTGGCCTGATATTCTTTACTTTTGTTCTTTAACAACATTTGCCCTATTTTTCGCTAGAAAATGTCATGCTCGTTTAAGTGACTAATGCTCACTCTAGACTATCAAATTTTCTTTGACAAAAAAACTGTTGTATGCCCATATATAGTCATGATGTGCCTATATATGGTCATGATGTGATGTCATCACAACCATATTTAGTCATGTCACATGTTTTTGTCAAAGAAAATTTGATAGTCTGGACAGGACTTGAGGTTCAGTGAAGGTCATGTTTCATTTTCACTTGTTTGAATGATTTCCTGCTCATAATTGAATCATGTTGTGTGTTGTGTGTATGATATCAATGTTTAATAAGATTTGTCAATTAACACAAGTATTTCATTTCCCCGATAGTAAGTGATTGTATTTGATTAGACAGTAAATTGAGTTATCCTCTGGATCCTTACACATCCCATCAAATTCAAAACTATTTAAGATAATGAAATGGAAATTATGGAACGAGTAAGAATAACGGTAGAATGTAAGAATTTTCTTTTAAAAAGCAAGTAGCTGCTATTTATGGTCGTCCATTGAGTACAGTTAAAAATGTTTTCATTTCCACTTATTTACTGTGACCACCCTTGCTTTTCATTCACATTCTTCCATTTATTCATTTACTACAGATTGCCAATTTCTCTGTTCTATTTATTTACAAGTATGGCCATTCTTCCACATCATTTTTAATTAATTTAAAAACTACAAAACAACATTAAAAATTACAGAAAAAAGGGATAAATGTTTAAGATGAAAGGCAATCCCATCTACATGGCAAGATTAATTGTCAAATGTAACATTTATTTCAGTTATCAATCAATCAATCAATCAATTTAACATGTATTTCACCAAAGATAACAACAAAACAGTTAAATACTATGGTGACAGACCAGTTTAGATGCCTAGGCTTGTCTCAGCTGTTCCTTTGATTGATATTAATAATTTAAAAAAAAAAAAAAAAAAAAATGTAATATACATAGACGAAACAAACATAGATGACCATACTCTCTCATTTATATTTATTTTCTCACTTCTTCTCTTCACTCATTAACTATTCTACTCATATTTAGAAGAAGACTCACTTCTTACACTTATTCAAGTTGACAACTTTTTTCCCCTCCATTTATCCACAGGTGGCCACACTTCTGCTTACTCTATCACTAATTTGCCATCCTTCGACCTCTTCTTTGTTTATACCTTACTATCTCCCTTTCTATTCATTTGGAAGTGGTGGTACCTTGTCCCTTGTCCCTTTTACTTACCATATTTTACAAGTAGCCATTTTAAAATTTCCACATATTTTCAAGTACTATAGCCGCTCACCCATTCTTGATCACTTTTCCAGTGGTGACGTCAGCATTTCACGCACAGGTGGTTCATTTTTCCCTTACAGAGGGACCTCATCTACAGTACTTCAGTCCCACCTTAATAGTTGAGGCTGAAGTCACTTCAGATACTAAAAAATGCTACCCTCCCACTAGCTCTTATTTATTGATCATATAAAAAAATTAATAATATTATATAATAATATTTAAAGTAATGGGTTAATTCACACCTTGTACTAACACTAAAAGTAATGATGTGATATGCATCTGACTATGATTATATTTTTCTCCTTTCAGGAACAGAGAATGAAATTATTTGAGGATATAAGACAAATGATGTTTGATATGATTGACAAACGTCGACAGATCCTGTCAGGTACTCTCCCGGTAGATGACATGAAGGAGCTACAGCAATTTGTCACATCAAAAATAGATTATGGAAATAGGTAAACACAATATATACATATATATTTATAATTATTTTGAGTGCTAGGTAAACATACAGGTAATATATTTATCTGTTTATAATTATCTGTAGTGAAGGTAATAAGTGCATGTAAAAAGCTGTTTGGTTTACATTTTCGCTGGAATTTCGCTCCCTGAATCTCGGGCTGTAACCTCCTACTGGACTCATTGGAAGTCATGGGAAACTGCAGATAATATCTTTGCAATTAATAAGTGATTGTATGATTTTTTTTATCAAAGGTTGTTGGATTTAGATCTTGTTGTTCGTGATGTAAGTGGTGGTGTACAGAACCCAAAACAACTTAGCACGTTAGAAATTTACGAGGAACATGTTCGTGCAACACAAAGGATACGACACGAGTACCAAGAAACCGTAAGTTTCTTCAAATTTTTGTATAAAGTTATATGGCAGATACCAGTCATTGCCAGTTGCAGACTGAGATTCATACATTTACTAGTCTAGTAACTAAACAAGGATCTCTGAGACAAAGAAGTGCTCGCATTTTCACATGGTTTGGTATTGGAGATTATTCAATATCATTTCTGAGCACTTATATTTATATTGATGCAGTTTAGTATAATTTTGTATTCAGAGATATTTTTTCTTTTAAAAATGGCGCCATACCCCAGAGGCGCGTCTGTCTCTGACCAATTGAAAGATAGGCCAATCCGCCGCTGACCGGCGCTACCATTATGTATTTGCTGGTTTATTATAATTGTTTTCTTTTTTTTATTGCAGTCACAGACTGAAGTACAGGTGACTAAGAAGAAGACGGGTACTACACAATCCTCCTCCATCTTCGTTTTTATTAAGAATTTTGTGTGCAATGTCGGTGATGATGCTGATATTCTTATCAGTCTGTATGATGCAAAGCTGGGCCAATTTATTAGGTACAAACACTTGTTTATTTTTATAGAAGTTGTTGGAAAACATATTATTTTGTTGAGATCTTCATACCATCATTCTGGAAGGAAAGGGCTTATACCAGACTGTAATAGTGTGTGGATGGATTTACATTGTAGTATCACTATTAATTTCATTTAATTTGTTATTTTTTCAAGTGAATTTTACATTGTAAAATGGAGTAGTAAGGGATCTGTTCGCAACATAGAAGATTTGTACAATTTGAAATGTCTCTTTACGGTTAGTACCCTTGGATTTTGTTTGTTGAAAAGTAAGAAGAATGTAGAAGCGAATATGTGTAGGAATTGTGTTGAAGAACGATTTTGAAAGGTGGGTTAATATGAGCTAATGAAGCAAATATTTTTAGGAATTGTTTTGAAGCTAAGAGAACAAATAACTCAGTGGTTAAGATGCTTGCATTTTAATCCCAGACCACCTAAGACCTTAGAAACAAAGAGGTCAATCAATGACGTCATTGGTGACCGACTTTGCCAAACTTCATCCAAACGCGAAATCAAAACAAACACTGCGACGGTGGCCTAGCGGAGGAAGAAAATCCCATTTTAATCCCAGGGTCCTGGGTTCAATTCTTGTGACAGCAAGACTTTTTCTCACAACAAAAAAACAATTTTTGATTGTATACTGAACCACCAGTTAATAGTTTTTATTATGTTTTACCTTATATAATTTATTGTGTTTATATAAATGTTTTATTATATTTTACCTAGTATTTCAATGTGATAAATATTTATCTTGTCAGGATCTTGGACCAAATGACTTGAAACTTGAGAAAGCTTACTTGGTTTGTCAGATTGTAAGAATAGGTAAGTCAAGGCATTTGCTATCTGAACCTTTTGAAGAATACACACAATGATGGTTTAAGGAAACCCCTAAATATTAAATGGAACTATCCATCTTTTTTCAAGTGGACATCTAAATTCAGGTGTCTTATGCTTCTACTTTACTTCAATAAACTGGCTTGCCTGTTTTCTCTCAAGAGAAAACACACTTTTCAAATATAATATCAAAATTGTCATCCTTATTTCTGAGAATAATACTATTGTGTAAATTATTATTTTGTGTAAGCTTATACAAAGTTATTTTAGGTTATTTATGTTTATCCTTTTTTGTATGTATTAAATGTAAACTTGCAATAAGAGCTCAAATGTTTAAAAAATGTCATAATTGATAATATAAAAGATTAATCTTAAGACAACATAATATTAAAAATATTATTATTGTTTGATGATTGCATTGTAATTTATATGCTAAAATAGTAGTCCTAATGGACTCACAGCTCAATAAAATTTTCCTTTTGCCATCCAATTGATTGGAAATTTGATTTTCTTTGTATAGACTTAAAAAAAAGGTTTAAATTTTAAATGACAGTTTTTGGTTGGTAACAGCAACCATTCTTAATTGAGTAGAATGTAGCAACAATTGTACAAATAATTTCAAGGTTGACGACCAATAGCAATGTGTCGACAATAATGTCATCAGCAGACTGGTGTCTACATTCCTGTCTTAAAATTAGTAGCTCTTAGCAATCAAAACTGTCATGTCAGTTTCAATGTTTTAATGTAAGAGTTATCTTTCTTCCTTTTCGATTCAAAGGTTGGTTGCTATTTATCACCACTATTCACAAAATTACTTTACTTTACCAATTTTATTTTTTTTTTGCTTTTTTGCCATTACACAAATAATGAATGTTTTGAGTGCAATGGGGCATAGCTGAGTTAAACAAAACATTTAATTCCAATGAAATATTCTACCCCTTGTACGAACAAGAAAATTCAGTATTTACTACACACTTACTGTACATAAATTGGTAAAAAAAAAAAAAAACTTCCATGCCTAGCCTGAGCTAGGCTAGACCTAGGAATTGATCTGGTTCATTATTTACCACTGCTGAAGCTAGCAAAATACTGCTACAGTGAAGTGCATACAGTATTTATTTATTTTAATTCCTTTTATTTATCATTATTATTTATTTAATTTTTAAATTTTATTTATCATTATTTTATTGCTATTATTATAGGTATTATGGAAACAAAAGATGGTGATCACGGAAGGAAACGAACACAGAATTTGCGGAGACCTTTTGGTGTGGCTGCATTGGACATCACAGATATCATGAATGGCAGTATAGAAATTGATGAGGATAAGCAGTTTTTTGTTCCCTTCCTCCAGTGAGTTCAGTTTATTCATTCATTCATTCATTCATTCATTCATTCATTCATTTATTCATTCATTCAATGTTCATTCATTCATTCATTTATTCATTCATTCATTCATCCTTCCATTCATCAATCTATTCATCCATTTATTTTGTCATTCATTCATTCATTCATTCATTCATTAATTCATTTATTTATTCTTTCATTCATCCATTCTTTCTTTCATCCGTCCATTCATCTATTCATTCATTTATTTATTCATGTATCAGTTAACCATTTACTATCCTACTTAGTAGTTTTATCTTGTGTTGCTTACTTACCTAAGTTGTCAAAAACTTTTGTCTTTCTCAATCTCTTCATAGTGCATCTAACTTTTTGTTTGTTAAGACTATTTGTTAAGACTATTTGTTTGTTAAGACTATTTGTTTGTTAAGACTATTTGTTTGTTAATAAGACTATTTTGTCTCATTCAGTCTGTTCATTCCATTTGGCTCACCAATTTATTTATTTTTTCATCTCTTTTGGTGATATCTTGATAACTCACTTAAGTTGTTAGTCACTTAAAGTCTTGAAAATGATAAAAATTCATTTAACACTATTTATTTAAAATGAGCAAAAAAGACTCACTATGATTTTTTAATGACTTATAGCATATTTTATATGAAAATCCTTCAGTTTATTACCTGCAACTTAAGGGCCTATGCAAAGAATATGTGAGGTTTTCCCACAAAATGTTTATTGTTTGAGTTTATTATCAGTATATCTTTAAATATTATAGTTCATTTGTTGTATATTTTTTTATAAACCCTAAAAATAATTCTGAAATTGTTATGTGAATAAAAAGACTTAGATTATTAGACTAGATAAAATTGTCATGGTTTCTAAAGAATTACTATTTACCATTTTTCCCTTTCAGGTCCTCAGGTGAAAATGATTTCCTAGAAACACTCATCAAACGCTACATCTCATCTCCTAAAGACTTTAATCACAAAGGTCAAGGGTTATGGATGTCATTAAAAATGCTGCAGGGAGATTTCAAACAGGTAAAGGTCAAGGTTCAAAACAAAGATTTAATTATTTAACTGAAAAATTTATATAATTTTTTAAAAAAGACTATGTTATATACATTTTAGATGATTTCAGCTTTTATGTTTATCTTCATTTGTTTTTGTCTGGACAGGTTCTTAAAGAGTATCCTCATTTAGTGAATGAGAAGACCGCCATTGCTCGTAAAATGGGCTTCCCAGAGGTCATCATGCCAGGTTAGTACTACAGTTCGCCCTCCAATTCGAGACCACCTTTGAGACCTGAAAATTTGGGGTGGTGTCGGGGTTCGGTCTCTAAATAGAGGGTTAGCTTTGTGTTGAAGGATTAAAGATGGTTGTTTGGTTCTTTGAAAAAGTGGTCTCTAATTGGAGGGTGCACTGTAGTAGTAAACTATTACACTCTTTGTACTAACTTGGAAATAAACATAAATAAACAATTATATTACTGTTATCATATGTTAGTACATTTTTGTTTTATTGATACAGATAAAATAAAGAATAACTAAGTTACAAGTACATGGCCATTCATCTTTACAACTTGTGATTCTTTTTTTTTATTTATTTAATGATATTTTACGTATTCAACAATATTTCACAAGGAAAGCTCTAACAGCATTGCTGAACTTAAAGGGGCCCACACCAAATACGTAGAACATCATGGAATAAATATATAAAAATATTTCATGGATTTCTATACTCCTTTAATACATTTTATATCAAATGCATTATGTAATATGCGTATATGTTATGCAATGAACAGACATATATAATGATACAGTAACCAGACTTATATTTATAACATATTCCCTTTAAGACACTTTTTATTTGAATGTATTGTATAATGTATGAATGTATTATTTAATAAACAAGCTTTTAAATATATATTATATAATAAACAGACATAAAATAATTATGGCATAAACAAACATGTTTTACTAATTTTTTTTAAATTATGTACTTTTTCGTACATTTTACACTATTTAATTGTGTAATGTCTTTTCTTTTATATATAAATTTTATATAACCTTAGTAGATGAATTTAGTATAAACTGCAAATTATTAATATCAGAAATTCATTAACTCCTGTACAGGTGAGGTGAGAAATGACATTTATATAACGCTGATCCAGGGTGAGTTTGAGAAGGGCAGCAAGAAAACATACAAAAATGTTCAAGTCACTATGGAAGTGTGTACTAGCGACGGTAAAGTCCTAGAGGACGTACTGTACCCTGGGGCAGGGGATCCGGCTACGTCTGTCTACAGGTCCGTTGTCTACTATCAGATCAAGTCGCCTAAATGGTTTGAAACAGTTAAGGTAAGTTAACATAATACAAATTGTAATACCCTGGATTGGAGCTGCAGCCACGTGCTTGCAAGTCAACCCCAGGATCCTAGGTTCAAATCCAGCAAAATACCTTTTTTTCCCTCACAAGTAAAACCTACATACAAGCCCGATAAGTCGTTTGCACACATTCATTTTGAGAGCAATTGTATCCCGATATCATTTGGTAAAC